TATATATATATATATATATAAAGCAGAAAATAGAGGTTTTGAATCATTGGTATCCAAAGTTGAGTTAAGGGTCCAACTGAGGATCATGAGACACAAAATTCAGGATTCTGGAAAAAAAATTCAAAAATGTATAGTTATTACATACAACTTGTCAACAACATGACTGAAAGCAATGCTGACAAAAACCAGAGCACATCGTCAAAACTTTTCCATCTTTATAATATAAAAAATGATATAATTTTAGGTCACACTTCATCACTGAAGTTTCACTTTCTGACACACATACGGTCAAAAATAAATAGATGACACTGTTTGGCAAGATGAAAACCGTTTTTCTGTGAAATCTGTATTTTGAACGTAAATTTTACTCAGTGCCTCAAAAAAAAAAAAAAGGCGAAAAGAAAAAAGACGTCCAATACTTTAACCATTATCTGACAGATTAACAGTGCCTATAAAAAGGATTCACCCTTTGAATATTTTAAGCTTGCATGACTCAGTTTGTGAGGACGGCCTGTTCTTGGTAGATTTAGATGTTCCATTTTCTTTTTTTTTTTTATTGTTGATGGATTTCACAGAACTCCTGGGGACGTTTAGGGTCTTAGAAATCCTTTGTCCAAATTCAACTCAGATCAATCACTTTAAAGTGGTGAATATTTATGTAATCATGTTTTACATTGCACATTTGTATTTAATTGTAATTACTCTGCAGGGGTGTGGCACCAATTTCCGGGTGCATTGACCACACCCAATTGTTAATATTTAAAAGTTGTAGAGTGACCGAAACTTTTAACCAGCTGAGCAGGCCAGCCAGTCAGCAGGCAGACCACGGGAAACCTCCCAGTTCTGTCTGTCCAGGCAGCTCTTTCAGCTGTGTCTGGGTTCCACACTTCCTGGTTGCTGTCAGGCGGACTAAACCATTTTGTGCCTCCAAGAGGGGGGCCCCCAGAATGTCCAATATGGCGTGGATAGTAAAATAAAGTTTATTCTCTCAGTTTATATTTTCAATATATTTGAAATAAATTACTACACCAGTTAATTGAAGGGCCCATTTCATTTGGGAAAACAAAATTAAAAATAAAATCAGGACTTCCATGGGCCCCTCTCCGTTCTTGGTCCCTGGGGAGTCAGGTCCACATTTCCCCCCACTTCCACACCCATGTTACTCTGTATATATTTTCACTTTGACAGTGAAGTTTTTTACAAGTATTTTTCTAAAGCAAGCCAACTCTTATGGACCATGATTGATTTATGACAATAATATGCAAAAAAACAAGTCTTCAAGGTGTTAATATGTTTATTTGATTTGATTTGATTTATTTATTTAACAGGAAAAGATTATTAAAAATCAAGCCTGACTCAGCATAATTGCTGTTTTACAGCAGGTTCCTGTTCTGCAGCACATAAACACTCAGATTTACTGCATCACAATTTAAATAAGCAAGAATTTCAATAAAAATCAAAAATAAGTAGCGTGAGTGG